GACACTACTCACAGACAAAACTATCCACAATAATAGACCAGACATTACACTTATAGATAAAACACAAAAATCCATTTGTATTATAGACATTGCCATCCCCAACACTAACAACTTAACTAAAACACATGCAGAAAAACACCGCAAATACACCGATATAGCTATCGAGCTTAAGACGCAATGGAGAATGAAATTTACTGTTATAGTTCCCATTATTCTTAGTGCTACTGGAGTTATACCAAAGACAATACACCACAATTTACAACTATTAGGTTTAGACAAAAACACATACAAACATTTACAAAAAGCAGTCATTATCAACACATGCCATATTGTTCGTAAATTTCTAAACATAACACAACATACATACAGAAATGATCCACAACGTATACATGTAAACAACAGTACTCGCTCACAACACGGTACACAACATACTGTAATATCTCCACCTCTAACCCAAACAAACACACAAATACAACTTACCGAACAAACAAGTAGGTACAACAAATGATACAACATATACTACAATCAGAGATTCACCTCTGAAGCAAACCACATTATCACCACCCATTAGTATTCAACCCAAACGCAAAAGCCTAAACACCACTTTAGACTCACAACATGACACACAACATACTGTAATATTTCCAAACTTAACTCAACCAACCACACAAACACAACTTCCTGAACAAACAAACGCAATAAATACAAGTAACGCGACACGCACTACAAAGACGCCCTCACCCACACGGCCTAGCACAGCTAAAAAACACAATACTCTTTCTTCTCAGAAATACACCACGTTATCACAAACACAACCCACTCGTACTCAACCCAAACGCAACAACCTTAACAGCACTACAGGCTCACAAAATACTGTAATGTCTCCACCAATAACCCATGCAACAACAGAAATACAACTTCAAGAACAAAGAAACACCATAAATACAAGTAACGCAACATGCACTACAAAGACAGGTCCATCCAATAAAGTTACACGCCCTAGCACATTTAAAAAACACAAAACTCCTTCTTCACAGAAGCACACCACATTATCACAACCCACTCGTATTCAACCGAAACGCGAAAACCTTAACAGAACTACAGGCTCACAACATACTAAAATATCTCCAGCAAAAACCCAAGCAACCTCTCAAATACAACCTCAAGAACAAAGAAACACCATAAATTCAACTAACGCAACATGCACTACAAAGACAGGTCCACCCAATAAAATTACACGCCCTAGCACAGTTAAAAAACACATAACTCCTTCTTCACAGAAACACACCACATTTTCACAACCCACTCGTATTCAACCGCAACGCAAAAACCTTAACAGAAATACAGGCTCACAACATACTAAAATATCTCCACCAAAAACCCAAGCAACTTCACAAATACAACCTCAAGAACAAAGAAACATCATAAATACAATTAAAAAACACAAAACTCCTTCTTCACAGAAACACACCACGTTATCACAACCCACTCGTATTCAACCCAAACGCAAAGCCAAAGAAACACTTACACAATAAACTCCATTTAATAAAATTACAGGAATTATTATAATGATTTTTTTTTGTTTTGTTTTCCTCTTTCCTGATAGCGTTGGCTATTGTGCCCATCAATAGGTATGTTGGTAAGTACGAATTACATTATCCCTAGATGTCCAATGTACGTGTGTGATTTTTATTTTTTTTTTATTTTTTTATTTTTTTTTTTTAAGGACCCTACATAACTTCACCAGACACAGACACAGACACTAATCGTTACTTGATTTTAATCCGTGCGATTAGTTAACCAGGCTAGACCTGAGTTCTCACAAGAAACACCGACCATAATAATAATAATACTCTTTATTATTACCTCAATTGCAAGTTTTGGTGAAGAAAGAAATTACAGTTTAGGTATCAAACAATTAAGGTAGTAAGTGGCGGAGTTCAGCATAGCTTTTTTCTAAATGATCATACTAACGAACTTTGTTTGAGCTGTTCTTCCACTCTATCAAACCCTATCAAAGTGATCTCGATGAAGACAGTGCATTTGACGCCGAAATTCTGGAAGATCTGGAAACAAATGTCCTTGACAACGATAATAATACTGAATTGCAAATTTTCGACGGTGATGATGATAAAGAAGAAAATTAATACTCAAATATTGCTAATTATAAGATTTTGAAAAATTTGAACTTAAACTGCAAGTAAATTAATGCAATCCAATAGAACATCACTATATTATCATCGTTAATTAATAAACAATGAAAATTATTTATAATTATATATTTTTTAACGATTTATAATCTTTATACCTGGACTTACGGTTGACCTTGAATTACACTGTAAACCACTAAGCGCCGCGCGCTCACCGTCATTTATCTCAACAACCGTTGAGTATACAGAAAAATGTTTGGGGTAAAAGTTGTAGATAATTTTATTCCCTACACTTTGTATAATAAGTACAAATGGTATTAAAACCATAGGAAACGAGATATTTGCAAAAAAACGGTTTTTGAGACCTTTGACCTTGAATATCTTAAGACGCGGACACGAGATTTTATGTGACTTTTGAGACAACTTTCAGAATGACAAAATAAAGGTTTACACAAGTTTATAGCTTATTATCTTTCATTCCGAGGTGAAACACTAATATGACTGGACTAGAATTGATTTTGAATTCTACGCACCCAAATTAATAAGAAAAAGTGTTTCCCGAGAAATTTTTGGTGTAGTCGAATTTTTGGTAAAAAAGGAAGTTTGTACACTGCCTTTTTTTGCAGCCCCCAATAATATATTAAGATACAAGTGTATAATTCGAAGTCTTTAAAGCACGCGCAACGAGTTTAAGGGCACGACGCAAAGCGGAGTGCCTTTAACGTTGCAAGTGCTTTAAAGACCAATTATACACGTGTATCTTATAGTATTTTTATTATACCTGCAGTATAATTTAAAAATAGGAAATACAATGAAATCATATTGACGTTATACTCGAATACATGTCTAATTAAGTGGGCTGGGTTTTCGTAATTTCACGATTGCCATGGAAATGTCACTTGACGTTTGCTTATAAAAATCATCGTCTTTGTGAATTAAACGATTTCCGTTGAAAAAGATAATACACCGTCCATTAAATCGATTGTTGTAAAATCTAAACACACATTGGTAGGTGTAAAATCCAAATCCAGTAAACCCTATTATAAAGAATATGAAAAGTTGTTTCCATGGATGGAATAGGAAGTTACGAATAAAGTCTTAAATGCATCCATAATGCTGGCATATATGAAGGAAATGTCAAAGGTATTTAAATCTTCTATATTTTGGTGCATTCATTCAAAACTTTAAAGCAATGATGCGATTAAAAAGTGGAACAGATTTGGAAGCATGCCCTAAATTACGCGCGTTTGTGAAAGCTTCAACCAAAGGATAGGTACAAAAGCCAAAGAAATGTTCTGCATTTACAGAAAGCGACCTAAGAGGATTTTTTATTTCATCCAGATGACAGTTTCAAAAGTCATACTTGAAGTATCCTTACTTAGCAACTTTAAAGCACGTGTGTTTTAAAGGCCCTTTTTCGCACGCATTTGAGTGTTTAAAACGGAGATTGTGATTCAGGTATAATAAAAAAGAAATTGTCTCAGATCGACCCGGAAAACATATTTTCTTATAGAATGTGGCCTGTAGAATCCATAATTTCAAACAGTTCCAAGATTGGGCTACCAGCTCAAAAGTTACAGCACTTTGAATTTTCTTTCGAATTTGGTTTCTAGTCTATAACTTTTGATTTAGAAGTCTAATCGAAAAAGTACGAATTGTTTTGGTTTCTACGCCCAAAAATTAATAAGAAAAAGTGTTTTCCCGAGAAATTTTGGTGTAGTCGATTTTTGGTAAAAAAGGAAGGTTGTACACTGCCTTTTTTTGAGCCCCCAAATAATATATTAAGATACAAGTGTATAATCAAGTCTTTAAAGCACGCGCAACGAGTTTAAGGGCACGACGCAAAGCGGAGTGCCTTTAACGTTGCAAGTGCTTTAAAGACCAATTATACACGTGTATCTTATAGTATTTTTTATTATACGTGCAGTATAATTTAAAAATAGGAAATACAATGAAATCATATTAACGTTATACTCGAATGCATATGCTTAATAGTGGGCTGGGTGTTCGAAACCTCACGATTGCGATGGAAATGTCACTTGACGTTTGCTTATAAAAATCATCGTCTTTGTAAATAAAACGATTTCCGTTGGAAAAGATAATACATCGTCCATTAAATCGCTTGTTGTAAAATCTAAACAAACGTTGGTAGGTGTAAAATCCAAATCCAGTAAAGCCTATTATAAAGAATATGAAAAGTTGTTTCCATGGATGAATAGGAAGTTACTTACGAATAAAGTCTTAAATGCATCGATAATGCTGGGATATGTGAAGGAAATGTGAAAGGTATTTAAATCTCCTATCTTTTGGTGCATTAACTCAAAACTTCAAACAATGCTGCGATTAAAAAGTGGAACAGATTTGGAAGCATACCCTAAATTACGCAAGTACAAGCCAAAGAAATGTTCTGCATTTACAGAAAGCGACCTAAGAGGATTTTTTATTTCAGCCCCAGATGACACTTTCAAAAGTTATACTTGAAGTATCGTTACTTAGCAACTTTAAAGCACATGTGTTTTAAAGGCATTTTTTCGCACGCATTTGAGTATTTAAAACGGAGATTGTGATTCAGGTATAATAAAAAAGAAATTGTCTCAGATCGACCCGGAAAACATATTTTCTTATAGAATGTGACCTGTAGAATCCATAATTTCAAACAGTTCCAAGATTGGGCTACTAGTTCAAAAGTTACAGCCCTTTGAATTTTTTTTCGAAATTGGTTTCTAGTCTATAACTTTTGATTGAGAAGTCTGATCGAAAAAGTACGAATTGATTTGGATTCTACGCACCCAAATTAATAAGAAAAAGTGTTTTCCCGAGACATTTTGGTGTAGTCGATTTTTGGTAAAAAGGGAAGGTTGTGTAACAGGATAATGGCCACCCTGTATATAACTTTTAGGCGCTTATCATATTCAATAAATATCTATGTGCGTTTATCAATACGAATAAATGCGGACGATGACATTGACGCTCGAGCTATTAAAGCGTATAAATGTATGCAAGGCTAAATTCTTGAGTTTTATAATTTTCTAAGATTATTTGCCGTTTTGGGATTTGTTTAATTGGAAAATGTAAGTTTCAACTCATCAAATATAATAACTCTGCACTTATTTGTATTTCAGCAACGAGTTCGATACCCGTTGGTCATTTTATTTACCTAATACAATTAATAGAAGCCGTTATTACCAACTCATTTGAGTAATTTATAAGTGCATAATCTGCACAAAATTAAATATCAGGAAGTCCACATATGGACGTGAGTATGCTTACTCATTTAATAATCAATGCGCAATTACTGTAATTTTAGTTCTTGAGTCACGGAGTCGAACCATAAGAAATCCACCCCTTGCGGAGTAACGAACATAGTTCTAAAGGGAGCCCTCGTCAGAAAGATAAGTCTTTCACCTCGTCTTTCACCTACCATTCACTTATCACTTACACGCATCATCTCATATTGTTAATTGTCAAAATTGTTATCACTAACTACATTATTGTGTACCGATCAGTGTTTAAAATTTGCAAGATTATACTCAATTCATTGAGGTGGCCAGTAGAAAGCGCTTTCCATTGTCCCTGCTCAATTTCTGACATCACAGAATTGTTTTATTATTGCTACTGTCCACTGTGAATACCTTGCCTCGAGATTGCCATCCTCTGGCCTCCATTCCAACAACGAACCCCAATCCTTCCAATTAGTTGTACCACGTTTGCATTTGTTACACGAGGCTACAAAAAAAGTATTGCATCGCCGCGTGGTTACAGTTGTACACTGCCTTTTTTTGTGCCGGAGTCAGTCAATTACTAAGTCGATGACTTAATTTTCTACATTTCCAGCACCTCACTTGAACTCTGTTTCGCCATTTGGGTCCTTGGGGTTTCTTTGACGCTTTCTCCGGGATAGTGAAGATTCTATCAGATTTCATCTTTTCTCCTCACCAGCGTGAACTTAACATCGCCTTTGGACGGATAAAGAATACGTAAAGTCATTAAATATAGTCGTATAATGGTAAAGCTATACACAAACTTTTTCCCCATGCTCAATTGATAACTATAATGACAGACCACAGCGAACCGTACGATCAATACACAATATTGGGGTGTCCGAGGAATCTACGGTGTGGTTCCTTTCGTTCCCTTTAATTTGGAGTAATTTATATGTTTTTACTAGGTGGCCCCATTTCCAACAATCACAACATACATTAGTATGTGCTTAGACTTGGCTCGCGTTAACAATGAAGATCCTATTAATCTTGGCGTGCGTCATAAGCATGGCAGCCTCTTTGGCGATTGTCAAGGATCGTAGAAATGCATCGACGGCTACTTGCATACGTAAAACTATCGACAAACTTTTTTCCGATGCTCATTCAATAACGTTTGTGACAGACTACAGCGAGTACTGCGACGATATCGTTCCCCTTGAATTGAACAGGCCGGTCTTTGTGGTTGCTGTGAACCTGCACCCAAAAACCGTGAATTTTTTTACGACGGGTAATGATTTTATCTTCTGCGTTAGAAATGTAGACCTCTTGAGTTACGCCTCTTATTTGATTGGACATTTAAAATGGAGCGAACGTAAAGGATACTCCGACGTAAGAGTTCTAGTCATTAGCCCCGAAAACGTGGAACGAATGCACGATCAGTGCTGGAAGAGTTGGTTACACAACGTGGTCCTTTTAAGTTGGGGTTCTGGAGAAGAAGTTCTGAGCGTCACAAACCAGTTTGCGGAGGGAAATTGCGGTGCACGTGCTAGGGTAATCGAGAAGGAATCGTGTGCAGGTAGTGTAAACATCCAGTTTCCTAAAACTTCGAATTTGAACCAATGTCCCCTTTTCTTGGCCGTTTACCATAAATCGCGTTTTCATTTGAAATTCACGCAGCATTTCCCAGACGTACGTTACATCATGAAATTTGTAATGCCGTTAATGGCGCAGTACTTTAATGCAAAATACGTGGTACATGTTGCAACAGACGAGGGCGGAGTACAACAGTTTATCCAAAACGATAAGAATATATCCATCTATCTTCAAGTAGATCCCAATGCTCCTGCCAATGTAGTATCTCAACCTATAATAACACTCCCTATAGTATGGATAGTACCGAAATCTTTGCCAGTTCCCGCCATACGAGTGGTGTTACTAGCATTTAAGAGTTTAATGTGGTACCTCATCATCTTCACCTTCGTAAGTACCGTGTTTGTTTGGTGGCTGATCGTGGGCTGCCAAAATAGAAGATTCCGTCTTGAGGATGGCTTAGACGCAATGACCAACGTGAGTTCCCTAACGATACTGAGCTCGATCCCAGTCATGCCAAGATCATTTCTTCATCGTTCCGTTATTCTCGCATACTTAATATACATCATCCACATCAGTTGCGCATTCACGTCGAGGTGGATTGAACTTCTTACGGTACCGCAATACGAACTCCAAATAAAAACTGTGCAACAACTCGCGGACGCAAATTTGCCGATTTACATTTCTAACAATTTTCAAAGGAATCATTTCAGTCGCAATGACACCAACAATGCTCTCTACGAAAAACTGCAAAAGTTACTGATACCCTGCCGTACTCACGATACAATGACAACAGGCATAAGGAGAGTTCATAATTATCGCAATTGCGCGGCTATTGTGACACACCAGGATATCATAACCACTCAAATGAGCATGACAGACAAATTTGACGTTGTAAAAATTGAAGATAGCTCTATAACCGGCGCACACCACCTGAAATTCGGATACAAACTCAATTACTACTTCGCCTTCCATATTGACACATTTCTCCAAAAGCTTGTGGAATCTGGAATTGGACCGAAGGAATTCAATGAACTCAATGCCGAATACTTTAAAAACGGGATCCGCGAAGAGGCCCAGGATACGGTGGTATTGACCTTAGGTCATTTGTATTTCGCATTCTGCTTACTTGGCCTGGGATTAGCGTTAGCACTTGTAGTTTTCTTGGTGGAACTGTTCACCGGATTTATATTTTAATAATTATTGTATTGTAATTGTTGCAAATATTTTGAGAGAATTGATCACAATGTAGCACAATTTGTAAATGTTAATAAATTGAGAATGAAACCCAGCTAACATTTTTTATTATGTTTGTTTATTAAGGATCCTCAGATCCTTTATAGTTTTGTATTGTCGTCCGTCCGTCCGTGTGCGCTCAAACTCTTTTTAAAAGTGGACGATTGTACGGGGGGTAGTTTGGACATTAAGGACGGACGCTATTGATTTCCAGGAAGCTGGTTCAACAGAAACAAAAGTAATAGGACTTTGAGTGAATCGAGAACAGGAAAAACTGCGGGCTCAATATAATAGAAATCGAATATAATGTGGTTAAGATGGGGGAAGTCCTAGTCCGGTGGTAAGCCAAATGTAAAGACCGTTATTTAATAAATTTGACCCGCGTGAAGCTAGCCTCCCAGCATTAAAATAATGAAACGTCAAATACTGTCCTAGTTTGCACATTTAGGCACACTTCGATTTTTCGTTTGCACATTTCTCTGAAAAGAGATATTGAAAAAATTATCAAAGTCCTCGTTTGAGATCGAAGGGACTTCAGCGCATTTTTGTGTGGCAGATCAGTATTCTATTAGCCACTTTCGACTCAACCATCAATAACAGATCTTGTCAAAGGCTACTACATTCACTAACCGCTTCCCACTTTCCGCGTGCACCCGCAATTCGCTTTTAAAGTTTTGACTCCACCATCAGTAAGATCGTGTCGGGGGCTACCACATTCCCTTTGACGGTACCCCCTTCCGACGTCCCGTTCACCCGCAATTCGCGTTTGAAGATTTGACTCCACCATCAGGAAGATCGTGTCGGGGGCTACCACATTTCCTTTGACGGTACCCACTTCCGACGTCCCGTTCACCCGCAATTCGCGTTTGAAGATTTGACTCCACCATCAGGAAGATCGTGTCGGGGGCTACCACATTCCCTTTGACGGTACCCCTTCCGACGTCCCGTTCACCCGCAATTCGCGTTTGAAGATTTGACTCCACCATCAGGAAGATCGTGTCGGGGGCTACCACATTTCCTTTGACGGTACCCCTTCCGACGTCCCGTTCACCCGCAATTCGCGTTTGAAGATTTGACTCCACCATCAGGAAGATCGTGTCGGGGGCTACCACATTCCCTTTGACGGTACCCCTTCCGACGTCCCGTTCACCCGCAATTCGCGTTTGAAGATTTGACTCCACCATCATGAGATTAAAAGCTACTTTTTACAAATAAATTTGCAAAAATGCGCTAAAAATTATCAAAGTCCTCGTGTGAGATCGAAGGGACTTCAGCGCATTTTTGTGTGGCAGATCAGTATTCTATTAGCCACTTTCGACTCAACCATCAATAACAGATCTTGTCGAAGGCTACTACATTCACTAACCGTTTCCCACTTTCCGCGTGCACCCGCAATTCGCTTTTAAAGTTAAAATCGGGTCGGGGGCTACCACATTCCCTTTGACGGTAGCCACTTCCGACGTCCCGTTCACCCGCTATTCACTTCTATTGGCGACACGAGAAAGAGAGACAGCGATTCGAGATTTACGAAACTTTAAACCGCGTGAGTTCGCAACGGAAGGTAAAAGGCGCCCGAAGTTGACTACTTCTCGGAGACGCGCGCGCGCGCCTCGCAAAAGGTCGTTAATTTCGCCCCTAGGACAAAAAACAAAATTCCGCAGGAGTTGTGCGCGTTTACAACATCTTTCCGCCGACACCAATTTGAAAAGAATCGGACCAAAACTGTAGTAGAAGATAGGAAAAAACTGAAAAACCTTCACGTTAGTATACTACGCTCGAGGATGACGCCCAGATGTCGCCAACCCCACATCATGTAGCCATGTCCCTAAGGTTGACAAATTTCACGGCCTTGTAGATACACGTACACCCGTTGCCTTTCTACAAGAGTTCTTCTACGCGCCCACATTTGCAGCCAGCCAGCCAGCCAGCCAAAGTGAGATTAAAAGCTACTTTTTACAAATAAATTTGCAAAAATGCGCTAAAAACAATGTTGGGGATGCCAACTTCACGATTTTGGCCACTCAACATTAAATTAATTGAACGCTATACATATACTTCATTCGTTTGCAATTTGTTTGCAGATATAGGCACACCTCGATTTTTCGTTTGCGCAATTGAAGGGGTCAATGCAAGAAGTGTCTAAGTCACTTTTTTTTACTGAATTAAGTTTATGCCGTCATCTATTGGTGTTTTTCATAAGCTTTCAGATGGTAGTTTCAGATTTGCAGAAATATGTACCTAAGTGCATCATTTTGCATTTTCTCTGATAGGAGTTTGCCTCGTTTTCAATGCAACAAATACCTAAGTCACCAACTTGACAAATGCAGTGCAACATGCGGCTTAGTTATTAGTCAACGTTATTTAGTAGTATTATTGCCTGAGCACCAAGATTAAATCCCGAGGTAAAGAATGTACTCTGAGTCTGGCACAAGCCAAAACCCAAACGTGATCATGAGTAGAAGAACGCTTGTAGAAAGGCGAGGAGTGTACAGGGTGGCCAAATAAGAATGCGAGGTACTGTATCTGGGAACCTGTCCATCGTAGAGGCTTGCGGTAAAAAAGTTATTACTAAAACGACCACGAAAAAAACCTGTAAAATATTTTTAAGTTTCTGAAATGCCCGCTAGGGGGCGTAACTGCAATCTAGAATTCAAAAGAGTGATGTTTCTGTGAATTCCGCTATAATAACCTGACAAAAAAATGCCCGGTCTTTGAAGTCGACGATAATCTGAACCTTTTTTATTTGACAATTATTGCTGTATCTCTAAAAATGAAGTGGTGGGGGGTATTCAAAGGTTTCCGTAAAGAACACCCTGTATCTTCGAAACGGCTGTACAAACTCGGATTAATTGAAAAGAGTTATTCTTCGGCTAAAAATATTATAATATTTGAAGTTTTGTTAGTTTCACATATCGCCGCTTGAGGGCTTTTTCGATATTCCGACAGAAATGGTTAATTTTCTCAAGAAAATTAAATGCATTGGTTCGATTTTTTTTCATGAAAAAGTAGCTAAATGATGCCTAAACCGCATCTCGATATCTTGTTCCTAACCTAAAATTTAGACCATAGAAAATTTTATACCATCAAATTTTTATTTACTAAACTAATTTTTTCGGAATTATTTTTATTATATAACTTGTGGCACTAAGGTGGATCGATTTAAAAAAGGAAGTTTTTACATGCCGCGTTGCATCGCTATACCAGCAATTGTCCATGCCTCGGGTTGAAGAGTTTCCACCACTTGGGCCGATATATATGTGTTGAGAACGCTGCTGAATCGATCCACCCCACTACTGATGAGATCTTCAAAATCTTCAGTGGGGCAATCTTGTACCCTCGTCCTCATACATCTCGATCCAAGTCGTCTATAGGTCACTTGCTGACTTTAATCATCTTAAGTGCTCCCCTTCCCCCCTCGCTTCTGAATCCGTCAGTTTCCTTTGATGCGCCCTCCTCAGATTCGGGATTTCCATGCTTCACCAGTAAACCCCTTCAGTAACGACCGTATCGTCGTCTCTCCTCTTCAAAACACTGCTGTAGAGCTTTACGCACTCTTCTACTTCCTGCTGCAATGTCCCGCTGATTGCCTCACCCCAGAACCACTCGATGTAGTTATGGTCGCTTAGAGAATCCGGCTCAAGCACTCTCAAACGTAGTACTCTGTCTTTTATTTGGTCCGTCATCATGGCCACGCCTATAAAAGTTTCAGCCCCCCCCCCTTCAAACCTAGGTCTGCCTCCCATATTTTGGAACACACAAGTTCAAATTCTTCCGCCCACTTCAAGATTTGACATTGACATCGCCAGCAACTATGGCTCTCCTTCGTCCCTTAGTAATGATCGAATTCCACAAATTGGTTTTCCTTGTCTTCGGCTGTAACGTTGTTTCATTTAACGGAACAAATTCACCTCCCATAAATTTGCGCACACAAATCCCGGCCCTTCTCCTGTCCTATGGACGTTTATTCACTGAAAAGGCTGTAGCCCCACCTCCGACACCACTAGAATATCCACCTCCCTATCTTCGGCCACGCTTACAGCCAGATCGAGGCCACCCCGGCTATTGTCTACACTTGACTACGCATTAACTTGTCTCCTGTCCTCCCCCAGTTCATTGCACGGCTTCGCGGTCTCCTGTCTGCGTTCCTCGTGCGCCGACGCCATGTCCTCTCTCAGTTTGTTGTAGTTCGCCCTCCCCCCCCCCGGCCCCTCTTTCATTTCGTTGCAGAGGCAGTTCTCTCTTACCCACACACGGCCGGTGTATGCCCAACTTCACCACAGCTGCTCAGTCTCTTACTCCCAGTCTACCAGCGTCGGCTGCACCCTCCGAACCCTCTCCCAAGCTGTTCTGCTGTGTTGCAGTCCAGGCGATCCGCTGCTCCCTCTCCACTCTTACACGATTACCTTTCCTGCGGTACCGCTCTTGTAATCTCTTTCAAGACCTCCGCTCCTGTGGTCAGACTGTCCAGGTTCCTTACTTCCACTCTCCTCATGCTCTCCACCACCCCTCTGTCCTTAATTTATTATATTTAGTACCAGGGCTGTCTTTCCTACACCCCTTTCTACCTTCAAAAGTATGTCTCTGGCTCTTGTCTTAGTTACGCCTTCGACCTTACTGCCCACCCCATCTTCGTCATATGGTTCTCGTTTTTAAGTCTGATAAGCACCGCCTTCGTCATCGGTTTGTGACCGCCCCCTTCCTTCCGCGTCACGTTCGCTACCCCATTTGGTCTTCAGCTTCCGCTCTTCAGTGGTCGATTCCCCGTCCTATCACCAGTCGCACCTACGTCCACCTCTGGAGTACTCGGTCCCTGTTTGCTGAATGTGCGGGGTTGCTTTAACTTCGTAGGGGCTCCCCTCTGTTTCCGTTTGTGCTGCCACTGAGACAGACACAACATAATGTCTGGGCATGGTATGCACCTCAGCTTTCCTTGGTCCGTTTTAGGGATCTCTTTGGTTCTGGCCTGCTCCGACGCCTTTCTCCCATTGCAGACTTTGGGGAAACGATCACTGTCTCATCTGTCCGATAGGATTTCTTCTTCCTACTGCTCCTGCC